TCTGTGTGCGTTCTTTGTGTTTCAAAATTGGCAGAAGAGAAGGTGAGGATAGGTTGTTTCCTAATTACTTTGTGATTAGAAATGCTGACGGTCTGGAAATGCTCTTAAACAAAGGCCTTTTTAAAAGTCTTCAGGCCGTTAGAAACAACTGATATATTTACTCAAGCATGTATTAATCATGTTTCCTTTGTTAAGTTTAATTTTAATTAGTAAGTGTGGAATACGCTAGAGAGACGATGCAATGTAGTCATGAAGATGCTGGAGCAGGCGTGAGGAAACCTGGATTCTAGTCCTCCTTTTAGGCACAGAAACCAGTTGAGCGACCTTGAGCCAGTCAGTTGTCATTTGTTGGTGGTGTTCAATTGCTAAGTCTGTCCAATTCTTCACAACCATATGAACCATAGCATGCCACACACACACACACACACACACCGGTCTTCCAGAATTTGCCAAAATTCATGTTCATTGTGTCGATGACACTATCCTACCATCTCATCCTCTGCCATCCCCTTCTCCTTTTGCCTTCAGACTTTCCCAACATCAGGGTCTTTTCCAATGAGTCCTCGCTTCTCCTTAAGTAGCTAAAGTATTTGAGCTTCAGCTTCAGTATTTGTCCTTCCAAAGAATCAGTTGTCATAGCGGTAATCAATGTCATTCTCTGCAACTAACCTGCTAATACCATCCCTTCCTCCCCTTATTATGCATTGATTGATTAGTTGGAAAAGCTAGGTGAGCACAGTGCAAAAGTAAACAGGAACTGCAACCTTGCAGGCTAAATGGCAAGAACACAACAACGGATACTATACATTTCTAAACTTACCACAGTTTATGATTACAACACACTATAGATGATGGGAACCAGAGAACAAAGTTCTCTAAGCCACAGGAATAGCCTTTAAAAGTTTTGATCTTCTGCTTATTTGTTGTCCTTTGTGAAGACTAGAAGATCAAACATTTGGTAATACGCTATTTGGGGAATAGTTGGCAGTATATGCAAATATAAAAATTACTCTCTAGAAAACTGAAGCAAACCACGTATTAATCTGGGGGGGAAACCCTCTCAGTCTGGATTATTACATTTCATTTGGAGTCTATTGATAGTTAGCATTTAAGATTAAAATATTCATTAGCTCAGATAATCTTTTCTCTCATTAATTCAATTTTTAATATATTGTAAAAGGTTGATTCTAATCATAATGAACTGATTTAGGAACACAGAGAATGTAACCTGAAGACTTTATGGGTGTGACTTGAATTAAAATAACAGAATCAGCCTTTCCAGGATTCTGTTAACATATTTTTAATGGCAGCACTTTATTTTATGTTCTGCTGATATAACAGAGTTCTTGCCAAATCCTATAGTTTAATCAGCCAGCAAAGTTCAGGGATCACAGCTAAATTTCATTTGGAATTAATAAAAAAAGGACTGTAGTCGTTAACATATTCCTGTCTGTACAGTATTTGGTCTGTTGGTCCAAATTCTGTCTTGATTGTGCAATAAAAAATCGATTCAGACTACCTTTGACTGCTTCTGCTAAGTCAATTCCCCTGTGCTTCCTAAAAATCTGAGGAATGAGGAATGTTCCAGAACATAAGAGAATGGAGAAAAGAAAATGTGCAAAAATTGCTTTCTTCCTTTTCTTCTAGTGTGAGCCTCCATTGGATTTCATTACCATCAATATTGGGCAAATAGCTTTGTAAATACTATAATAAAGAAATGCCTGACATTTTTATAAAGGTTAATAATTTATAATTCACTTTTGGTTCTTGAAAATTCTTGATTTGGTTTAGTCATAGGTGTTTTATATTGCTATATTATATTACTTCCAAAAGGCAAGCCTCTCTAATTTCTCTTTCATATCATAATATTTCTGAGTCTGTTCTATAATTCTGACATTGTTAGGAACACAGAATGTTCTTGCCATTTGCTTTCTGCTCTTTGCCAGGCACAAAAAAAAAGTGGTTGGAAAGCCTTCTGCTTTTCCCCATGAACTTTAATTTTCCTTTAAAAAAAAAACTTTTAAATATCCCCAGCTCAACTGCACAATTAATGAAATTATCCCCTCTACAGACTCTTAAATATTTCAGGGAATATTTGGCTAGAAGCAATTATTATCTACATTGATTTAGTATATAAATAGCTCCATTTCTTATTTCCGATGTAGCTATTTATTTACTTAAATAAATTTCACAATATCAAAGCAAAAAGTACCCTCTAAAATCATTTAAAATACAATAAAGTATTAGATAAATGAATCAAATAAAAAAATGCACAGCCCATGTTGTCACAGCAGAGAGTGTTTCAAGCTAAGAGATAAAAACCTCCATCTGAATACAAGAGTAAATTATACATGAATAAAAACTTCAGACATCCCAGGAGTGAAATCTATTAGATTTAGGATCCACTTAAAATTGATCGGGAAGATGAAAGTAATATCTTACAGACAGCAGAGTTCTTTGCCATCCAGCCATTAGGCAGATGATCTGTAACTCACATCTCACATCAGACGTTCATATTCAACAGATGACCTTAGTGAGGCGACTGCCTCCCTACAAGACAAGGCTACCACATACTAGCACGCTTTACAAAATAGTGATGAGATTGGTCATCTGTACTTATCCAATGTGTGTACTGTGTATTACGGTGCTTTGAATTTTTGTAGATGGGTATGTTGAAAAGCCGGTGTAGATTTAACTTTATTTTGTTAACCAGAAGGAGGAAGGAGCAAAAAGGAAAGAAAAATAAATCATTTGTTTAATTTGGCTTCGTTGTTATTTCTGTGCTATCTCAGCTGACAATTCTGGGCGATTTTATCGTCTGATGAAGCCATAAAAGGTGCAATAAAATTACAAAATAGTAAATAGGCTCCATTCCAAAGTTTTTATAGAAGAAACTGCCTTAACAACTTTCCTAAATGTTCTAACCAGGCACCTATTCTAGGTTATAACTGAAAAGGCCTTCATCTTGTCTCCTGCTGGTATTCAGGGAGTGGTAAGGGATCTGCAGCAGAGCCCTGGTGGTGCAGTGGTTAGAATGCAGTACTGCAGGCTGATTCTGCTGCTGGCCGCCAGCAGTTTGGCAGTTCGAGTCTCACCCGCTCAAGGTTGACTCAGCCTTCCATCCTTCCAAGGTCGGTAAAATAAGGACCCAGATTGTTGGGGTCAATAGGCTGACTCTGTAAAATCACTTAGAGAGGGCTGCAAAGCACAATGAAGCAGTGTATAAGTCTAAGTGCTATTGCTATCCCATATCAGGCAGCACATATTTGGCACACCAATTCTCCCTGGAGCACATGGTCCTTGAAGGTACTGAGAACTTGAACCATAAACATCTGTAGAGATAATAACCAGTACCTTGAATAGAATCTCAAAATATTTGGGATTATTCAAGCTATTCTCCAAAGCGCCTGAAGGCAGGACAAGAAGCCACGGATGGAAACTAATCAAAGAGAGAACCAACCTAGAACTAAGGAGAAATTTCCTGACAGTTAGAACAATTAATCAGTGGAACAACCTGCCTCCAGAAGCTGTGAATGCTCCAACACTGGAGGTTTTTAAGAAGAGACTGGACAGCCATTTGTCTGAAATGGTATAGGCCGGGTTTCCTGCCTGAGCGGGGATTGGACTAGATGACCTCCAAGGTCCCTTCCAACATCATCATCATCGTCAACGTTATTGTTATTTTTATTATTGTTATTGTTATTATTATTATGTTTATGTTTATTTGCTCTCACCAATTGCAATAAGCTTCCGTTGAGAAAAATGTTTAGAGGCCTTTGTCCTATCTGTGTATGACATTTATTTAGACAGGAAGAGCGGGCAGAAAGGCAGTTCTGAGTGCCAGGAATATTTAATTTGCTTTCAATGGATAATGGGGTATCTTGATACCAGAGCCTGTAGCTCAGAGAGACTGGCTGATTAGGGCTAATGGTTAGCTTTCAGCTGGAATGAATGACACATCAAGAGGTTGGGAACGATGAGGCAGCTTTATAAGAAATAAATGAAGCAAATTCTGTAAATGTTCAGTGACCTCTGCTCCCCTAAAATCAAATCCAGTTGGAACATTCTTTTTAGCCCAGAAGTTGTGGATTGAACAATATGTATTTATTCGTGCAAAAGTAGGGTTAATGTTTTAGAAGCATATATCAAGGTCACAGCAATGGAGAATAATAATAGGTTTACTCTCAAAGGGGGTGTGATGGCTCAGCGGTTAGCTTGTCAGCTCGAAAGCTGACAGCCCAGGTTTGAGACTCAAGCGCCACATGAAAGAGTAAGTTCCTATTACTTGCCCCAGCTCCTGCCTGCCTAGCAGTTTGAAAGCATGCAGATGCAAGTAGATAAATAGATAGCACTTCAGTGGGAAGGTAATAGTGTTCTGGGTGCCTTCGGCATATAGTCATTCTGGCCACATGACCATGAAAAATGTTTTGGACAACACTGGCTCCCTTGGCCAAGAAACAGAGATGAGCACTGTGTCCTAGAGTTGGACACGACTGGATAGGGCAAGGGTAGGCAACCTTGGTTCTTTTATGACTCGTGGACTTCAACTCCCAGAATTCCTGAGCCAGCTGGCTCAGGAATTCTGGGAGTTGAAGTCCACGAGTCATAAAAGAGCCAAGGTTGCCTACCCCTGGGATAAGGAAACATTTATCTCTACTCTGAAAGGGCTAGGAAAGGGCTGCTTACCTCTGATTTTTTCCCCCTATCTTACCTCTTAAAGCACATTTTCATGCTGTCGTTTATAAGAATAACATGGAAAACGGGTTCGAGGCATGAAGTAAATTTGGATTTGTGCATTGAAGTTATTGCCAGCAACCTGCACAATTTGTCAACGGCTAACCTATAATTAGGAACCAAGGCCAAGAACATATCCTGCCACTTTTGAAATCAGTAGGTTTGTTCCTTGAAACAAGTTGTGCCAGTACACAATATCCACAGAGTTTAGCTTCAGAATATATGTCTACTAAAACGTTTAAGTGTTTTTATTTTAAATCTTGCAGATATTTGATAACGAAGCCAAAGATCTGGACCGAGAAGTCTGCTTCATTGATATTGCCTGTGATGAAATTCCTGAGCGCTATTACAAAGAATCAGAAGTAAGTAAGGGACATAATGCCTTTCATTGTGCAAGTAACTCATGAAACCGCCCAAAGGTGAATGTTCCCATCCTGGAGTAGTTTGGCTGATTTTTTTTAAAAAAAATCATGCTACCAGTTGGAACCAAGAAATATTCCGACATATCATATGCAAATGTCTGATAATTTGGATCATACATTTGTGCTGTATTTAAAGCACAGGAGAAAGACTCTGTTAGAGCAAACCAAAGGCCTGTTTAGCTTCCTGGGTTATCGAAGGCCAACTAGCTATGTTTGGAGAGCACAAAGGCAACACATACTGTAGTACTGTCTGCCTGGAGTAGGTACTAAGTTCCATGTTGTTCCTGCAATAGCAATATATGATTTTTCTGCCCACAATTCCCAGACTGCTTTCTTTTCATCTGTTTGCCTTCATTCCATCTACCTGCACTTTTTTAAATAGGTGCTCTGGGGTTTGACCTCTTGTTACCTGTATTAAACCTCTTTAAACCTTCACTCTCACTGGCTTTTAGGCACTACTCTACAGGGAGTCTTCAACTTACAATCAGTCACTTAGCGAACATTCAGTGTTACAATGGACCTCCCCCCCCAAAGTACTTAGGACTTGATTTCAAAGTTGCAAAGCCACATACACAAACATATGCACATACAGTCACACTATTGCATTTTGGATGGTTGGTAAGCAGCTCAATTTTACGGCCATTTGTACGTCCCACAGTCACATAACCACAAATTTTTTACTTTTTTGCTGATTTCTGGTATTTACTTCCAGTTTCCAGTAAAAAAAACCCACCCATTGGGTGTTTAATGATTGTGGTGTTTGCTTAATAACTGTTGTAAAAATATTGTAAAATCAGAGCCAGTCACCTAATGACTCTCTTAATGACTGCAATGACTAATGGCCATAATTCCGGGCTCAATTATAGTCCTAAGTCAAGGACTACCTGTGCTGTTTAGATTATGTAGTAATTTGGGAAAGATTTTTCATGGTTAGGCATCGAATTTCTCTTCTTTATAACTCAGATGCTGTTCATGTGTGCATGTGTATATTTTGAAAGCAACTCATTAGAGGTATCTAGAGTTATTTATCTATCTAATTTATACGGCCATCTGTCCCATCATAAGTGACTCTGGATGGCATACAATGAAGTTAAAACTATGAATTAATACACAAAACCACTTATTATTAATTACAAAAAACATTTAAAAACTATTTTTTTTAAAAAAGAGAACAAAACATAGAAATAGCAACAAAGGGAAGTTAATAACAATAAGAGCCACCTCACAAATTCTCCAGCCCCTGGCTGGGGCTTGCTGGCATAACCAGGTCTTAAGAATCCTTGGAAACTCAGGAGTGATGAGACCAACCTCACTTTGGGGAAGTGGGGGGAGAACCAACCCGGAACTAAGGAGAAATTTCCTAGACCAGGGGTAGGCAACCTTGGCTCTTTTATGACTCGTGGACTTCAACTCCCAGAATTCCTGAGCCAGCATGGCTCAGCTTGGAAACCTCTCCCTTTCCCCTCAGCATGGCTGGCTCAGGGATTCTGGGAGTTGAAGTCCACGAGTCATAAAAGAGCCAAGGTTGCCTACCCCTGTCCTAGACGGTGAATGGCTGGCCTCCAGAAGTCAGTGCAGATTGTGAATTCACTTTGCTGATATTCCATGTTTTTAACTTCAGCACTTAAAAATCCTTTCACAAACCCTAAATAGAGAGATATCATTTGGATGCAATGAATTTTCATAATTCACTTCAGTGTTTGCAAGTCCTATAGCCTTGTCCAGGGCTTTTTTGTCATAGAACGCCCAGAACGGAGTTCCGGCACCTTTTTTGGGATGGATCCTTGTAGGGTAGGCAAGGCGGGTTGTATGATGTGTGTGAATTGCGGCACCTTTTTTTTTTTTTTTTTTTTACAAAAAAAGCACTGGCCTTGTCTCTTGTCAGCCAAATGGCATTAGTTCCTCAGACCGTGTTCTAGAAATTTTCAGTTCAAGAGGCGTGGCTTCTGCAGCAAAGACTGACATAGGGCTTATCCGTACAGCCACATTCGTGAGTGTTCCTCCATCCTTGAGACAGGGAAGAAAGTATGTCAGCATAAAAATCATGCCCTCCACATCTGCTTTTCTCACTCTTCAGCAACAAGGCCAATAGTGTTGCTGTCCTCAAACAATGTCATGCAGAAGACTTCCAGAGCAGTAAATGATGGATTATTTCTCTTCCCACACAATGTCACCTATCAATGGGAAAGCTAACCACCAATCGCTTTCCTAAATGTGTGGTGGGCAGAATCCAGAATTCCAACTGTCACCTTCACTAGGTAGACTCCTTATGTTAGCGAGAAGACTGCTTCTTCTCTTAGGGGGACTCAAAATCACATTTTTTTAAAAAAAGATGTAACTGATGGAATTTGACCTCTCACACAAGGTTCAGTATCCCTATGGCTAGAACTTTTAAAAAATCTCCTACTACGCCCCCATATAGAGTCTTCTGATATTTTTCATTCTACTCTATAAATATAAAGATAGATGCCAAGTGTCTTTCTGGGACAGCATGCCATGTTCCTACAATAAATCCGGCTGGCAAGAGAAACGAAGCCCCTTCCAAACTATAGTGCCCATTCACTGGCTTACTGGCTCACATGCAACTTCTATTAAAATGTCTTAAAGCCTGACATAAGAACCAGGGCTAAGCAGGTTAGCTCTCTTGAAAGAGAGATTGCACTACAGGTACCGTAATTCTCACTTAACGATAGTAACTGGGACCAGTATTCCCATCACTATGTGATGGAGTTATAATATACGATGTCGTATGACTGCTTTGCTTAGCCACAGCAGTCCTGGCAGTCTCCAAGGCATAATTAAGTGAGGATTGCAGGTTGTTAAGGGAGGACCTCCTTGCAACTTTCTGCCAGTTTCCAACAGGCAAAATCAGTGGAGAAGCTGCAGGAAGTTGCAAGTCCTGCAAGGAGGCCAGTGGGCAAGTAAGCGCCTGCTGTAGCATAAGCATAGTGGGACTAGTGCATGAAGGGGCATTGGTGGCCCCTGCAGCACCATGCCAGTGTGGCCAGGCAAGCGTGCACTATGAAATGTGGGCGGGAGATGCTACGGATGTGCACCATGGAACTACTCTGTAGCTGAGGTCCTCAAGGGAAAAAGTAGTGGGAGTGGGGGCAATTTAGAGGAACAACTTACAATCTTCTCTGCCGGCTTCCCCATTGACTTTGCTTCTAGGAAGCCAGCAGGGAAAGTCACAAACGGCAATCATAAGACTGCAGAAAACTGCAACCGTCGTAAGTGTGAGCTAGAGTGTGATTGTGATTATGTGAGTGTGGGGGGTCTGGGACAGCCAGAACTCTGAGGACTATTGTTCAGTGCCTTCATAACTTTGAACGGTCGCTGAACAATTCGTTAACCAAGGACTACCTGCACAGCAGTAGGAACACAGTCAGTCCCTTTACTATTAAAACAAAGAAAAAAGAAAAAAAAAGAAACATCTGAGTCCTGTACTGCCTCTTTTACACAGAAGAGGGAGAGAAGACATTCTGGAGATTGGTCAGCAAAGTTTTGCTGAATTCATAGTGGTTGCAAGTAGTAAAAAATATAGTCAAATGCGACCAATCAATCTTTCCTTCCTTCCTCTTAAATGCCATTCCAAACATTGGAATCTGAATGGTATGCTGTCCAGCCCCACATAGTTAGCAAACCAAAGAAGCATGTGGATTTCAGAAAGACCTCTCAGATGCTAATCTAAGATAAAAAAATAAAAAACTAATCTTGAAAACTGTAAGAATATTCCCAGCCAGACTTACTGTGAATTCCCTGTGAGTTTCTTTCTTTCCAGAGCTTTCACAACTGGACTATATTGCCTCTTCTTATATGTACTATACCTCCTGCTCCTTGGTTTCCTTCCCACAGTCTCTCACATCTAAACTCCCAGTGTAATATTTGGATTAAAACAGTAAACATGACATAGATATTGCTGGTAGCAATCAGTCACAAAGAGCATTCCCTCCTGCTTTCCAAAACTTGAGAGGATACAGAAGTTCAACTTTTGCAACAATTGTGCTGAGCTACTGTAGATGGCAATCCTTCTGACCCTACGAAAAAGACGCTAACAAACGCACGTTTTTATTTGCAAAAAAACTAGCAGCTCTTAACTTTTTGTTTTATTCACACTTTGTTTTAAGGAAACAAAAAGTTAAGAGCTGTTAGTTCATGCAAATAAAGAGGGTCTGCCTGCTTTCCTTGTCTTTGCATTTTTTTACGTTGCTCCTCTCGTGAGAGGAAACTGTGTAACACACATTAACTACATTCCTGTTCACTAGAAATGTTATTTAATTGTTTCTAAAATTTTATTGCTGTTGCATTATACCAGGAGTAGGCAATCTTGGCTCTTTTATGACTCGTGGACTTCAACTCCCAGAATTCCTGAGCCAGCCATGCTGAGGGGAAAGGGAGAGGTTTCCAAGCTGAGCCATGCTGGCTCAGGAATTCTGGGAGTTGAAGTCCACAAGTCATAAAAGAGCCAAGCTTGCCTACCCCTGCATTATACACTCCTCTGCTTTCCTTCAGCCACAAGGAGCCACATGGAAGTTCCATTTGAAAAGATAAAAATTTTCAGGAAGCTGAATGTTGCATCCGGTATTACATTCAGCCATAGTTATCCATTTGCATAGCATCACTGTATTAACACACAAGGACCTAAAAATAAAATAGATAAATTATAATCCCGTGAAAAGAGGCACTACTTTCGATGGGCACCTCAAGAAGACGAGACTTCCCCAGACCCATGAAAACGAAGCAGGGCTGTTCTGACTGTTTATAACATTTCTTTCTTCCATTCAGTTGGGTCCAATTCTTAGGAAACTGCCTGGGCACGTTCCTGCAGTTTTCTTGGCAATGATCTTCAGAAGTGGGTTTGCCATTGCCTCCTTCCTAAGGCCGAGAGAAAGTTACTGGCCCAAGGAAACTGAGCTGGCTTTGTGCCCACGGCAGGTCTA